CGTCAGATATATTTCCAAACAGTTTAACACCCCTCCCAAAGTAATTTGGAGAACGCTTCCTCAAAGAATACCTTCAAACACCACCTGCTTTACAAGGTCGTCCCCGAAACCAGCTGACAAAGATTTGGCCCAAATGTATCTTTGGGGCCTTGTTTCAGTGGACCCAAGCAAAACGAACCAGAAAATGGGCGGGCTTCGCGCCTTCTCGCTCTCTTTGCTCTCCACCTTCTCCTCCTGCCCGCTCGCAAAGCTTGGCATGACGATCCGATGATCCGGGATCTGCTCAAAGGGCGGCAGTTGTGTCACCCAACGCATCAACGAGCAACACCCCCCCGTCTAGGCTTCCAATCAAGTGTCCTTTGACTCTGCGGGGCTGCAACAAATGACCAGCGACATTCTGCCCTTTCCCGCCTCCTCGTCCTCGTCAATATCCAGGTCCACAGGCAGCTGACGGACAGGGTGCAACATTCACTGAGAATCTGTGCGCTGCCGTTGTCGAAGCAGCCTCAAACGCCTCACCCCCTACCCCCCGCTCCCCGGAGAAATCTATTTGATGCACTTCTCGCCAAGTTGAAGCATTGCCCCCTACATTTTTGGTGCCAGCCTTGATCTTCACGTTGTACACTGTGTGCGCACGGTCATTTTTCCTGCAGCAACCAGCATGTCAAATGAACATTTGCTGAAGTGCCCAATGCCACGTGCAACACACTGGGGGGGGGCCAAAGAGTGGAAGGTCCTCCAAAGCTCAGCTACTCAACACAGGGACAATGATGCAAGTTTTCCCCCGTTCTTGGCATGTGCTTCTTCATGGCTCCAAGCAACTGCCTGTACTTGCGCCCTTGCGTGCCCAGTGCCCCGTTGGCCAGCTCCTCAAGAGGCGCCGCCGCAAAGGTCTGGGCACCTCACCCTCAGCCTCCTCAGCCTGCGGCGATGGGCCGCCCAGAAGCTTTGGGATGGTTCGCAAGCCCATGTTCGAGGCCGCTGCTGCAAACGTGTTTCGCCCTGCTGCAACCAGTGCAAAAGCCATGTGAGCTTCAGCCTTCGTTTCGAAAGAAAAAACAAACAAACACAACTAATCTGCTCTCGTGTTTTTTGTTTTTGGGGGTGGGTGGGTGGGTGGAAGCAAGGTGGTGGCTCGGGGCCTCCTGCGTTCTCTCCGCCTCCAGCCTTGCAGCGTTAATGAAATGCGATGCTGCGTGACCAAGGGCTGACTCTGACTATCCTATCTCACTTGTCCAAAGGATCTGCAGAGATTGACCTTTTAACTTTTCCAGATATTTCAAAAAACAAGAAGACAAGCTCTGGCAAGATCTTGAGAAATGAAAAGGTCGCCTTTGGGCAACCTTGGCATTGAACATCTTTGGACTTGGATGTGACCGTGCCGACAGCCTGACTATTGTTTTGTTCAATCACACCGGAAACCAATAGACAAACGTCAAAGCAGCACTGCTCTTGACCATCCTGCTGCTGAAAGCCGATCGTTCATAAGCACCCCAACAAGCAGGAGATGCACATGCTCCGCATGCTCTGCCCTGAGTGCGCGACTTCTCCTCCTTCTCCTCGCGAGGCTTTGCGGGAGGCAACTTCTGGGGTTCAGAAGCTTTCACGAACCCTAGCGTTCGTTCCTGGCTGCGCCGCCTGCACTTTCGGGAACGCGAGTAATGAGTTGCTTGTGCAAAGTCGCACAGGCTTGGGCCAACATGGCCAACCAACATGATGTTTACATACCTTTAAGTCTTCCGGACTCGGAAAGGGGCCAGGGCTTGGTGGTTTGAACACATTCTGCCGGACTCTTGCTCACATGCCGCGGGCTCCATCTCTGTCCCTTGCTCCGTCGAGCCGCGGAGCTCTCCGCCTTGCGTCTCGGTTCTCTCGGCGTCTCATTCCAACCCAAAGGGCATCTTAGCCGAAAACTGAGCGCTCCTTGCTTGCCACGAAAAAGCACACACGGAACCGAACCCACATCAACACATGCCCAGTGAAGATGAAGGCCCAGCTCTTGCCACATTTTGAAGAAACACTGTTGCAACGCCATGGGCCTGTGGACAAATCGAGTTTCTGCTTCCGGCTTTTCAGTAAAAAGCGCCGCGCCTTGCTCGATCGCATCTTGGTACTTGGCATACCTCGGTGAAGCAAATTCAGGCAATAGGCCAGAAAGCTCTCTCTAAAACCACTCGCGCACTGAACAAAAACAACTCTCGGACAAATCTCTGGGCCGCTTGCTTGGCCAGATTCCTTTTCAAGAAGTCCCTGAGTGGGCCGAGCACCTGTGCTGTGCGGTCAACTCATCAACTCATGGAAAGCCGAAAGCCACCAGCCCGATGGCCGGGCTGAGCTCTCCACCCGGTCGAACACGTCTTTGGTGATCACCAGGCATGTGGCATCGCCTTTGGCATAAACACTGGCCTGGCGGATCAACTGAAGACCCTTCACTCGTGTTAGGCAAAGCCAAGAATGTTTCAACACCCCCTGTGAAAAAGACACCCTTTTGCTAAGGGAAACAGGGTCTCAACCAAGATTGTCCTTGTTTTTGGCCATCCAAACAGCGCAACCCGGGCCAAGACGATCCCCCCAAATTGCCCGATTCCGATGTCCAAGCCCTGCACATCGCTGCGATGCGGCCGTCCGCCTTCCTCGGCTCACCCAGTAACAAGGCGATCTCGCCGAAGAAGTCGCCGGTTTTGTAGCTCTTCACCTTCGCGGGGAGGACTTTGGATCCATCAGCCCCCAAAAATGGGCAAACCCACGGCCCCGGAAGGCCACTTGGTGCCCCAAGTTAAGGAGAACGGTGAGTGGTGATTGATGATGCGGGATCAAGACGACACCACACACGAGACCAGCAAAATCTCTTGGAGTTTAAGCCAACTCCGTTCCCAGTGGCCATTCGTCTCCTTGAAAGCTTGGCCAAACTGATCCGACTCCGTGCACAAGTTGAACATGCTGGTTGATACGATCTACGTAACTACGAACCTGCTTCCATGGTCATGACTTGACTTAACTTCTTCGTGCAACCTCATTCAAATTCAGGTATGGATGTCTTTTGGAGAAGGCGCGACACATCCTGGTGGTTTTCACGGAACCCGTCGCCACGCTTCCCCGAGAAATCGGAGGTCAAGGTCGCCTGGACTTCGCCCTTCTCACCGGCGATGCAGGCCACAGCCTGCGATCGGTTTGTTCCGCAAAAGGTGAGACCCATTTGGTGGGTCAAGAAGTGGGTAACTATTGCATACATGTGTGGGAATCATGGTCCATCCCAATGGAACAACCCTGGATCATCGAGCAAATTGGCTTTATGACACTCGGGCTTCTTTTGGGAGGTCCATGTCAATCTTCTGTGGAACCCCCCAAAAATGAGCTCCCTTCTGGCTTCCCCATGGAGAACCGCGGCCCAAAAAAGGAGGTGCCTCAACATAAGACGGACCTATTCAAAGGCGCATCTCTTGGCTGTCCGCTTGCCAAAAACCTGCATGACATGCCACGCCTCCCCTGACAGCATGATGAACATGTTGCTGTCATGCCCCTCAGCAGAATCCATGTCGTGAACTCGCGCCCCCTCTGAACATTGCGCCATGGCGCCCATGCTCTGCGAATCAGAAGCGATTCAAGGGACCCTCAGGCACCAGCCCCTTGCTGAATGATGACCTCGCAGGTCGATGGCTGCGGGCTACACGGACCCTCTGCTCAAGTTGCTCCAGTTTTCGGAGTTCCTTCTAATTTTCTGATTTCGCAATGGACTTAAACTTCCGATGGCCCAGAACAAAATACCGCGCTGCCGCATCTAGTCAACACTTGGTCAATGTTAAACCCTGGGATCGATTCAATACCTTGCTTGCTTCATCTCTGTCCAGGGCGCAGTAAGATGTTACCAAACACTGCGCCAGAAACAGTGGAACCCCACTGTGTTGCCTCCTCACTCTGGAAGTCTTCCTCATCCACCACCTGGCATAGAGTCCAGTGAAGATCCCTCGCATGTGAAACTTGCATATTTCCTGGGCTTCCCACAACATCCGGGGCCGCAAGTCACATTGAAATCCGTCCATTTAGGAAACCGAACTGCGAATCTGATCAGCCCGGATACTTCCATGGCAGGAGGCGGACCCAGCGCCTCTGCGAGGGTGGCGATCTGCTCCTGGACGAAGGCAGGGCGTGGGACAATGTGCTGGGAATCCAAGCTGAGTCTGTCAGCTCACAGACTAAAGCTATTGGGCTATTGGGGACTGATTGGCGGGAACCACCTACAGGAGCTTGCTTTGTCCACCAGCCACTGTTCCAGGGGGCTTCCTGAATTTTTCTTCAAGCGAGCTGAGAAGCTCACCAGAAAGGCTGATATTTAAGCCACAAAAGTGGAATACCCAGACCTCCAGTCCTCCGGTGGCCATGGAAAGCTTTTCTTTTTTGGGCTGAGTTGAAGTGGTCAGTCGACTTCACGATCAATTGGAGGCTGAGTTGAAGTGGTCAGTCGACTTCACGATCAATTGGATGCGGAATGATGCGGGTTCCTTCGTCGTGACGCTGAACGCAATGTGGCATTCACATATTCATGAATTATTGTGGGTGTGCAACGGCCACCTTGCAGGACTTGCAACACGAGATAGACAGTGCGCGTTCTTACGCAGCTTGGCAACCTGCAAATCCCCAAAATGCTCTGACCTCCGGCAGCCACCATATAGCACCCGTCACGGGCACGGATCATATGAGGCATGAGTCCAAAATCACTCCAATTAGCGCCAACATGAATGTTTGCACGTGAGAAGTATCTTGTTATGGGCTAAGTAGGGACACATTCGCTTCTGAACATGACGTAGTTTTGCCTTAATGCGCCACACAACCCCATTCGACTGCTGTAATTAGGCAATTCCGCTTTCCAAACCTTCGGCATGTTTACGAACTTAGTTCTTCTTAGTTCTTTGCATCCTGCCACTAACAACAAGAAGAATCATACAGAACACTAAGACAGATGCGAAGAGGTGTGTGATTACGGAAATGGCAACTCCTGTCAGTCAACCGGAGATCTCATGTGAAATCGCTTTCGCAATCCGCTCCACATCCAGCTCTTGCAGCACGTCGCAGTGCTTCAGGAACTCCGTGTACCTGCGGAAATCCACTGTTGGTGCGAAATGGCTTTGGTCCCCTTACAGGAAACCACCACTTGGATTGTTTATCAAGGTCATTTCTCATTCCCTGCCTATCGTACCAGCAAGAATCAGCATGGACTACGAGTCACAGGCGGCTATTTCCCGCCAAAGTTGACATGAACTTGGTGCAGCGCCCAGTTCTTTCTGCGTGCTTGCCCAAAAGTCGTGACATATCGCGAGCCCAGGACTAACGACATGCATCAGGACCACGCAGAACACGCATTTGGGGCAGATTTGCTGGATCAGTGCTATCATGACACATACTCCCTTTTCAGAAATCCAAAGCTGACATTAGCCCCTTACCCAAACCTCTACCCTTCGGTAGTTCCTTGGCAAGGCTTCCCGCTCTCCCAAAAACGGACACAGGTTTCAGCAAACCGGAGGTCCAAAGGCTTCTTGCTCTTCTTCGGGCACTCCTTGAACTTCTGCTCCGAAGCCCTGAGCGGCTTGCCATCGGCGTTTCTTCGCAGCTCGTTGCCATTTGGCTGTGTCTCAAAGAGGAGAAATCCCAAAATTGAATAAGAAGTGGAAACATGGGCCGAAACCTGCGGTGCCTGGTGGCTTTATTTTGACCCATACCGATTTGTTGCCTTTGCGGCCAGCCACAAAGACCAGCCGCGGGAGCGCTGACTGGTGCCGCAAGATTTGGTGAGCCCGCTCCGACAAAACATGACCATCGACTGCCGGATGCTTTGACTGTACTGCGCTGGGCAGCAACATAACTGTCGGACGTGCTGAAGCGCTGTTTTTGATGGTTCGAAGGGGTCCCACGTCCATTCAGAACCCTTATCATACAACGCCCATAGTTTCGCTTCGTGCGCTGATGGCCAAGAGGGAAGTTAGAAGGAGACCAACCAAAGAGGAAACGCTTCCATCTCGCCGCCCGCCTGATGACGAGTTCTCGGAAGGCTCTCCTCTCCAGGCACCAAACTTCTGAGTCCTTGCGGCTTGCCGCTCACATGTCGATGGCTGTGCAGCGCTTGTGTTTAGGCACCGCTCGTTTTGCCACGTTCTCATGCAACCGCGTGGAACAACGAGGAACGCGCATGGGCGCTTTTTTCGTGAGCGTACCCATCTTTTCCTGGTTTTCACGGGAAGCCCAAAGGAAAATCAGCATTTTGGCGGGCTAGGGAACACGCAAACACGGATGTTCCGCACCTCAAACCAGGGGATGAGCCAACTGAACCATGGCTTGAACCGCCGTTGTTTGAACAACCTTTGCTTTTCCTAAGGCGACCAGGGCGTAGTTTAAACATGTGCACAACTTTGCAGTACTCCCCTGCAAATCAACATGGAAACCCAAAACCAATCATTTCACAGGAACATGGGGGGGGGGGGAGTGGGGCTTGTGGGTTGCACGTTAAATTGCTGGGGAGTATGCTCGCGAATTTGCGACAAGTTCTGCCGAAGTCAGAAAGACAGAGGAAATAACGCATTCTCCGACCACGGAATGGAAGCAAATGGATCCCTGGAAGCCATCGGGGATCCCTTCAAAACCAACAACAGCAAACAATTGGGGGCTGATCAATATTCCTGGCCGCAAATGACCATGGGTAACTCTGGGTAACTTTTCCCATTTAGTGGAACATATCATGTTTTGCTTGGTTTTCCCCAATGTTCTTCCTATGTAAAGCACCTTTTGATCAATGGAAGCAACGCAATTTGACCACGACTCTTGCAAGCCCCTCTGTCCTCTCTCGCTATGATTGTGGCTGACCTCGGGGCCTGTGACCGGCGCGGATTTGGGGGAACCCTGGTTGGTTGGGTTTGAAAGAGCATCAACTATTTTGGGGGTCAGCTGGAGCGAAACCCAGATGAATCCTCCCTTTCTTAATGGCAGGCTTGCGTTCTCTACTTCATGAGTAAATCGTGGCATGCAATGGGTCGCAACCCATGATGATTGATGTTCCTTTGCCGTAAACACCCAAGCAGCAGCCAAGCAAGAGTTTCCATCTTGCGCCATGTGCTCGCAGTGTGACCCTCTCATCGTTGCGCGGCCTTTTCAGCAGGTTCTCAAACAACCGGGCAAGAAGCGCAAGACGAGAGTAAGACTCGGTTCCAAAGCCTGGGAGCTCCGCGGATCGTGTCACTTTTCCCAAGGAACATTGAAAGCCAATGGAAGCCCCCACGACAAAATTGAAAGCCAGTTGAAAGCCAAGGAAAGCCAAAGGCGAAAATATAAAACCGAACAGAACCCCCCCCAGCAAAACGGGACCCATCCGGGTGGTGCACCGCTTCCAAGCATAGGAGTGCTTTGAGGGCAACTAGATGTCCCTGGTAGATGATTAAACCACCTGGTAAACCAGGAATCGCCATCTATGTCTCTACCAAAACAGCCCAAAAAGGACAAACAAATAAATTTTAGCAGTTCAGTGGTTGGATTCCAACCACAAGACCACACTAAGATGGCCCTGGTTTCTGTTTTGGTCGGCTTCCGCTTTCGTCTCGGGCGCCCGGGCGTTGTAGAGCAGCGCCGCCTCGCCGAAGGCAAATCCCTGGCGCGCCTCGAAGACCTCCGATGCGCGCCGCGTGGCTTTCGTTGAAGCCGAGGTGGGCCCAGGTAGAGCACCGGGTTCCAAGTGGAAGCCGGTGAAATCCGGCACATCCCCCGGGGAAAAAAAAAAACAAAAACATTCCCCCGCCCAAAAAAAAAAGAAAACACTTTTGCAAGGAGTTGGGTGGATATGAGGGGATTTGGGGCATTAGCTGGCCCAAATGCATCCGCTAAGGGACCCGGTGGAGTCATGGGTAAAAAAAACTATTCACGCGAGCTGAACATCCAAGTGAATATTACCCTCTTTCCAATCATGGAAGTGGACAGAGCGCATATTAAAAGGAAAGCCCCTCCGATCAGCTACCAGGATTGCTGGAGGGAGTGTGCTAGTCTTTTGATAGCCCCTGGTTTTGTCAACCCTGCCAGGAATTGGGGGGAGCCAAAAGAATCTAGATACTCCAAAAAAAAGAGCTTTGGCCGGTTGCTGAAACTCGATTGGGCGTCCAATCAATCAATCAATCAATCAATCAACCAACCAACCAACCAACCAATCAATCAAATCAAATCAAATCAAATCAAATCAAATCAAATCAATCAATCAATCAATCAATCAATCAATCAATCAACCAATCAATCAATCAACCCATCAACCAATCAATCATTGAATGAATGAATGAATGAATGAATGAATGAATGAATGAATGAATGAATGAATGAATGAATGAGTGAATGAATGAATGATTGAACGAACGAACGAACGAACAAATGAATGAATGAATGCATGAATCAATCAATGACAATCAACTCGCATGAAATCAAATCACATCAACTAAAGTAAAATCAATCAATCACTCAAATCGATCAATCAATTCATGAATTCATTCATTCATTCATTCATTCATTCATTCAAACACATCAATCAGTCAATCAATCAGTCAATCAGTCGATCAGTCAATCCATCCATCAATCAATCAATCAATCAAATAACAACATAAGCGCCTAAACCCTAAATCAATAAAACCAAATCAAATCAATCAAATCAATGAAAACACATGGATCAATAAAGTCAATCAAACTAATCAACTCAAACGAATCAATCAAGTTAGTCAATCAGTCAACCAACCAATCCAATCCAATCCAAACCCAATCCAATTATCAATGAATCAATGAACCAATGAATCAATGAATCAATGAATCAATCAACCAACCAACCAATCAATCAACCAACCGACCAACCAACCAATCCAATCCATGAATCCATCAATCAACCAACCAACCAACCAATCAATCAATCAATCAATCAATCAATCAACCAACCAATCAATCAACCCATCAACCCCCCATCAATCCATCAATCCAATCCAATCCAATCCAATCCAATCCAATCCATCCAATCCATTCCATCCGTCCATCGATCAACTCAATCAACAAATCAATCAATCAATCAACCAACCAACCAATCAATCAACCCATCAACCCCCCATCAATCCAATCCAATCCAATCCAATCCAATCCAATCCAATATCCAATCCAATCCAATCCAATCAATCCAATCCATTCCATCCGTCCATCGATCAACTCAATCAACAAATCAATCAATCAATCAATCAATCAATCAATCAATCAATCAATCAATCAATCAATCAATCAATCAATCAATCAATCAATCAATCAATCAATCAATCAATCAATCAATCAATCAATCAATCAATCAATCAATCAATCAACGAACCAACCAATGAATCAATCACTCACTCACTCAATCAAATCAAATCAAATCAAGTCAAATTAAATCAAGTCAATCAATCAAATCAATCAATCAATCAATCAATCAATCAATCAATCAATCAATCAATACAATGAATGAATGAATCAATGAATCAATCCATCAATCCATCAACCCATGAATCCACGAATCCATGACTCCATGAATCCATGAATCCATCCATCAATCCATCAATCCATCAATCCATCAATCCATCCAATCCATCCATCCATCAATCAATCAAACAATGAATCAATCAATCAACTAATCAACAAAACAACACAATTACACGCAAACAGCAAACAAACCAACCAGTCGGCCATCAAACAAAGAAACACACAGCCTCAAAAGGACCACTTTCAGATTTTCCTAGCAGTAGAAGCTCCGTTTTAACGCTTCCCACCGCCCCCCCCCCCCATCCCTTCTCACAAAACCGCGCCTTGACCATGCCACCATCCTCCTCCTCAGCCTGAGCCTGAAGTCGTTGGGTCCATTTGGGTAAAGCACAAGTCGATTGGCCAGAAAAGGTCAGTCCAAACCTTTTGTGCGGACGTCCTCTCAGGTGGACCCAGAAAAAAAAAAGGCTCACTTCCTATGTGGATTGGTCAAAAAGAGTCCGTTATTTTTTGTTTACCACTAACATGGTCCAAACCCAAAAGTGTCAAGCCCAGGAACTCAGGAAGTGAGTACCTCTTTTAGGTTGGGCCAAGCCCTTGTTTCACTCATGTTAAAGCCGGGATTGTGCAAATCATCTCCGTTCGACTTCAACAGTGTTTGCAACCCACCAAGCGACTGTTCTATAGTTCAAAACCCGCACATAAGGACCGCTCGTGAACGAACTAGTTTGAGATGTTTTTTTCGCCCCACTCCACGGACAGCCTTCATCAACCCATAGCCCAACTTGCCACATTCAAAAAACCGTTTCCATGTGCGAGCCAGTAGCCCGGTAGACCACCAAAGCGAGTCAACCAATCGAAAGCCCAAGTGCGGCACGCCGCGGATCTTCCGGAAGGCGAAGATGTCGAAGCTCCCCTTCCTCACCTTGCAATTCCATCCTCTACAAAACTCGAGCCTTGGCCCCCTGTCTATTCGTTCCCTTCCCCCAAAGGAAAGCTGAATGGGGACATGTCCTTTGTTCGGGGTTGTTTAGAGGCACGCTACATGGGTGGTTTCCTGTCAGCATGCCATTGAAACCCTCTCAAAGGATTTCTTGTTTGGAGACAGGGCCACTTGCCTGAGACCCCTAGAAACCTATACCAACACACCCAGGCAAAGAAGCGGGTCAAATTACACACCCAAACATGCTGGCACCGCGATGTAAAAGTTGTCTCCTTCGTCGCCGTACCTGAGAAGGCAGCACAAGGAGTACGTGCATGATAGCCAAAGTAGCCACCTGACTGAGATGGCCAAATGCAGTTCCCTACTATGGCAGCATCACACGTGGGGGCCAAGAAGAACATGTCAATAAAGTGCAAAGAACACGTCAAGGCTTGAGGGTTCTGGCTCCTCCCCATCTGGTGCCCCACTTGATGATGGTCTCCCGCTTTGCCAGCAGCTTGCAGAACATGGCCTCTCAAAGCATGTGAGACCAGCTGAGTCAGACAGGGAAGCGCACACAGAAACTTCACCCGCGTACAAATTTCAGCCCCCGTTTGTAGAGGAATGCGCTTTTCGCGTAGTCCGTGCCTATTCGCAGGTGAGTACTTCAGGCACCGCCAAGCCTTAAAAACATCGTGGTACAACCCTCCAGCATCTCAACTCAGTCTCGACCCACCTCCACCACCTTCTCGAGACCTTTGGGAGACAAATTTCCAAACCTCAGGGCGCGCATGGCGATCGGGTGAACTCGCCTAGCGGAGGCCAGTGCAGGTTGACACACTGGGTGCTAGAGAGGAAGCCTAGAGAAACTACAACTTCTCTTGCTTTCCTGGAGGGAGAATTGAGCATGCCTGTTTGGAAAGCAGGTTTGGCCCCTGGCATCATCCGAAGCTTGCCTGAGCTTTGGAACTGGCAAGACAGTGCTGCAACCTTGCCGTGGGGTCAGTACACTCGGGTCCGAGGAGCTCCTTTTGAATACCCGCATCCCACACTGCAATGGTCTGCAAGCAGGCTGCTATCGTGCGAGCTTTCGATGACCTGAGCGAGCCAAACACAATTGGCAAGGACAGGGGCTGCACCAGGGTGGCATATCCTCCCTCCCTGGCTTGCTTGCTTGGGGGAAACGACTTATACTCAATTTCTAGGGGGACTGAACGATGGCTCTTGAACGCGCTGCGCAATGAATCAACCCCAAATTCTAACCCCGTAGCCAAAGCCACCACTGCTGATTGAACACAAAGGGCCCCAACCCGAGGCGACGCTGGTCCCTCTGTTCTTGGTTGCTGTTGACCCCCCTGCAAAAAGTTTAACTTTTTGGGGGTTTAGTGGAAAACCCCCTTGATTTCCCAAAAAGTTAAAGTCTAAAGATCCAACCCAATAGCAGTCAAGTATTATGCAGAGCTTAACCAAAGGGTGGCCTGCAGGAAACGCCATGGCTCAAATGCCACAGGACGCCTTTTTTGAAGGGCAACCTTCATGGAAGCCATGACTCCATGACTAAAAATGGTTGCCCCAGGAAGAGGAACCGTGCGAAACCACTCGAGCCACTTGAGAAGCCAAGGCACTTGGCGCAGCTGTTGCTTCTCCTCTGGGCTCTTCGGGTAGCTCGGAGGCACCCATTCCTCCTGGCAGCCCCATTCAGGGACACTTCAGAAGGAAGCCACCACGAGTTCCCTAAAACAAGACACCCAAAGCCTGGTATCAAAATGGCGAGGCTGCCATGGTCGCAAATCCATGGAGGGCGGATATCAGGACCTAGTTCTGGCAACTGACCCTTTCAAAGATTCATCTACCGAGGTTCTGGTTGTGGGTCCCCATTATCCCCATTTCTGTTTTACGTGTAGCCAGGTTGTTGATGGGTGCCAAAAAAACGAGGCATTAAGCCACACACAACTCAACCTGATCACTTTGGCCTTTGTGAAGCGGCGCAGCTTTCATCTCACAATCGCACAAAGCACTTACGTGCAGTCTCCACTTGGTACATGTTGATTCACAACTTCTCATGCCC